CAAGCAGTTAATAGATTTTATTATAATTATTTTAACTGCACAGGCTCAGAAGGAAATTTAGAGGAACTGTGCAGGTTTGCTAATCAAAGTCACATACACTCCCACACAACAAAGGGCAGTGGAATCTTTTGAAGGCATCGTTCTCGGAGCTGAGTGATATTAATAGCGATACAAATAAAAAATTCATTCCATGGGGAATTTGTTTGCATGAACCTGAAATGTTGGTTCATCAGAATTTAGCTAAAGGAAAGAAATATTCACCAAGCTGTCATCAAGGGAGTGATGTTTTGTTGATATATATGTACACAGGACTATGTCGGTATGGAGATGTATACATAAATACATACATATATATATGCACACACACATTCATATAGTTAATTTTGCTGTTATTTCTCTCAGGGAGCACAGATTGGTTTAATATTTTTAAAAATTAAGGGTCACATCTCAATTCAAGACCAAAAAACTTCACATATTCTGCTTTTCTTCATTAAATTTACCAGTTATAATTCTGGTCTGGAACTTGTCTTAATCAGAGACTCTTCTGTTAAGGAAGGCGAGGGGGATTTTTTGCCATTATTTTAAGTCTATATTTATCTATAACTGTCTGCTTCAGTTTGATAATCACATTGCATCTCCCGTGTTTTCTAATTTTTATGTTGGGAATAAAGAAGAGATCTGAGAATAATTCAGGAAATGAAAATCAGTGGTAGAAAGAAAAGAATTCTTTTTTTTTTTTTATCCTCACCCGAGGATATTTTTCCACTTTTTGTACAGATAGAGTGGGAGGGAGAGAAAGGAAAGGAGAGAGAGAGAGAAACATTGACGTGAAGGGACACATCGAGCAGCTGCCACCCACACGACCCAACCAGGGCCGGGGACAAACTGCAACTGAGATACATGCCCTTAGTGGGAACCGAACCGGGTCTCTCCGGACCGCAGGCCAACGCTCTAACCACAGAGCCAAACCGGCCAGGGCTAGTGCCTTTTGTGTTTTTTTAAAAAAAACACAAAACATGACACATTCATTATTAGCCACTATTGTAAACACCAACCTCTTCTTTCTTCTCAAAGTCATCCTCCCAAGTTGGAGGTGGCAAATGACAGATAACTGAAGTTCCCAGTTCTCTCTGTGTACAGCAGTGGCGCAGTGACTCAGTTCTAGCCAGTGAGATGCGAGGAAAGTCTGCTGGAGACTTCTGGGGAAAGTTTACTTCCATCATAAAACACAAGAAGAGAACTCTTGCCCCATGCTCCTTTCACATAGCCACTGCGAGGATGCAACCTGGCGCATGCTTTCTAGTGACCGTGAGAAGCTATCCCTCCCTCATTGATTAGGACAAAATGAAAAGATAGGACAAGAACCTGGCAAGAATCAGTGAGCCAGTACACACTCTTGGAACCATCTATGTCCAGGGCAATTTTTGTGGAAAAACACTCCAGAAAGCCTTTCCAGATTTCCTTTCTCAAAATTAAACAGGTTAGAAGAGCAATCGGAATGATAATGTTTAATAGATATCAGTCAAAAATATAATCATGATCACTCTTGGTCACAATGTTATTTTAAATCTAAACAATTAAATTGATACGAAGTCAATGACTGTGTATTGTATATCATATTAAACTGTAGTTTTGTCTGGCTTTTTAAAAAAAAAATGTAGTGTGTCATTCGCTCTCCACTTTTTCTGGACCTAACATGATGCAAGCTATTTCACAATCAAAATGTTTGAAAATTGAGGGAAAGATAAATTAAATGGGGGAACAGCAAATTTAGCATTTATTGTTATTGTGAACTCTGTCATGTGATTCCCTACCTTTGCTAGTCCCTACATTCATTTTGTGTCTAAGAAAGAAGAGGGAGTCCTGGCTGGTTTGGCTCAGCGGTTAGAGCGTCGGCCTGCGGTCCAGAAAGACCCGGGTTCGGTTCCCGCTAAGGGCACGTACTTCGGTTGCAGTTTGTCCCCGGCCCTGGTTGGTCGTGCGGGTGGCAACCACTCGATGTGTCCCTTCACGTCGATGTTTCTCACTCTCTCTCCCTTCCTCTCTCTCCCTCCCACTCTATCTGTACAAAAAATGGAAAAAATATCCTCGGGTGAGGATAAAAAAAAAAAATTAAAAAAAAAAAGAAAGAAAGAAGAGGGAGTGTTGACTAAAGGAAGCAACTATGATATGATTGCTAAATATAATGTGACTCTTTTCACTTACCTTACACAACCTGACAAGGCACTTAGATCTTTCTAATAGCAAAAAAAGAAACAGAGTGTATACAGATTAAGATAATTATATGGCTGAGAGGTCACATTTCTCTTAATAATATTTCTTTTTGTTCTGCCTTTGGGGAAAATATAGGTATTATAATAAAAATGGATAATTTACTTTTTTACATTTATTTTTTAATTTAATTTAATTTAATTTTTGCATCACCGTTTATTTCCTCTTTGCCTTCTTCCACCTCTACCCACCCCTGCTGAAATCACCACACTATTGTCCATGTCCATAAATTCTCTTTAAAAAAAAAAAAATAAGCAAGTCAGAGAAAGATAAATACAATATGATTTCACTCACATTTGGAATTTAATCAACAAACTTAACTACCACCTTGCCATTTTAGCTCAGTGGTACAACATTGGCCTGCAGACTATTGAGTCCTGGGTTTGATTCCAGCCAAGGGCACATAGGTTGCAGTTTGTCCCTGGCCCTGGTTGGGGTCATGCGGGAGGCAACCAGTTTGTGTCCCTCTCACGTTGATGTTTCTTTTTCTCTCCCTTTCTCTCCTTCTCTCTCTACCTGAAGATAAATAGAAAAATGTCCTCAGGTGAGGATAAAAAAATAAAAACAAACTGAACTACCAAGCAAAATAGGGACAGACTCATAGATAGAGAGCAAGCAGACAGCTCTGATGTGTGTGTGGCAGGTGTTGGAGTGGTGGTGGAGGGACTGAATATCTCCACAGATTTTTCTTCTTATAAGGATATCTAGTTTATTGCAGCATCATTTGCTGAATTTTCCTAACCCATTGAAATGCTTTGGTTTCTTAATTGCAAAGCAAATTATAATGTAAGTGAACCTGTTACTAGATTCTCTATTCTTGTACTTTTTTCTATAAATCAATCTTTATATAATATCACACATTCTTGAATGCTACCATTTTATGTGAGTCTTAGAATCAGGCAGTGTATGTTCTTATACTTCTTTGTTTTCTTTTTTTCCCCCTAAGATTGCCTTGAACATTTCTTGTTTTTCCATGTCAATTTTAGGATAAGCCTACAAATTTATACAATGCTGTTGGAATATTAATTAGGATTATGTTAAATCTATGTTCAAAATTAGGCAGAATTGTCATCTGAATAATATTGAGTCTTCTGATTTTTGAATACAGTGTATTTTAGCACTTATTTAGGCCTTTTTTAGTAATACTTTATAGTTCTCAGTATAAAGGTTTTGCACATCTTTTGTTTAATTTATTCATACATGTTTGATGTATTTTATGCTATTATAAAGGGGATAATTTCATAAATTTACTGCTAATATAAAAATTTTATTGATTTTTGTATATTAAGTTATCTTCTATGACCGTGATTAATTCATTTGTTGGTTCTAGTAGTTATTTTATAGAGCCCTATGGATTTGCTGCATCAAAGAACATGTCATTGGTAAAAAAAAAAAAAAAAAAAATAGATATAATTCTTTTCTTCCAGTATTTATACCTTTTATATCTTTTTCTTCTCTTATTGCAATAGCTAAGACTTCTAATGTAATGAAGAATAGAAGTAGTAAGAAGGCAAATACTTGCCTTGCTACAGACCTTAGAAGAAAAATATTTATCAAAGTTAAGTATGATGTTAGCTGTGGGTTTTTTATTTTTTTATTTCACTGTTGTTTTGTAATCAGGTAGATGAAATTCTATTTTATTACTAGTTTGCTCAGTTTTCATCATGAATTGACGTTACATTTTATCCATTTTAGTAATGAGAGTAATGTCTTTGATAACTTAAGCATAATCAGAATTTCTGTTTTATCATGGATCCATTTTCATAATTTTTCAAATAATTTTTATATTTCATCAAGATTGTTGATTTTGTTGGAGTAAAGTTGTTATATTAATTTATTACTATCCTCTTGTGATCTACTAGATGTGTACAGATGCCCATTCCCTTTTTTCTTGGTACTAGTAATTGGCTTTGTTTCTCTTTTAATAATCTTTTCAAAGAGTCAATTGTTTTAATAATTATCTATATTATATGTCTGTTTTACTTTTATTTATTTCTTCTTTTATATTTATTATTTTTTTTCTATTTGTTGAATTTAGGAGTACTTAGCTCTTTGTTTCAACTCTTAAGTTGAAACCTTTTGTCATTGAATACAGACACATTTTTCTTTTATAATATAAACATTTAAAACTATAATATCACTAAGCACTGTATTACCTGTACCCACAATTTTGATACACTGTATATGCATTATAATCCAATTAAAATATGAGCTGCGTTATCTTTTTGAACTTATGGATTATTTAGAAGTTTCTTTTCTAATATATGTTATTTTTTCTAAATATAATAATTTATTTAATTTAACTTCATTTGATCAGATAATATGTTCTCCATAATTTTAATCCTTTAAATTTTTGGAACTAATTTTATTGCCTAGCAGTTGACTTATGTTGATAAGAATACAATCTGTACTTGATTTATAATTATCGATTAGATCAAGGGTTTTATAGCATTGTTCATGTCATGTAGTTCTTGACTTGATAGGGGTATAATGTAAAGCAGGAAATTCATATTCAGGCAGGAATATATCACAAGGGATAATATTTAAACATGTAGGCAAAGTTCTGGTTCTGGGTGAGAAGTCAATGTTTAAATTAAGACAACAAGAGCTGGGGTGATAGCAAGCCAAGTCAGATGCCAGAAAGTGAGTCAAGTTCAGTGGGTTTCAACACAGGTCAGCAGCTCCAATGAAAACCTGTGAGCCATATAGAAGTTCAGGTAGAAGCCAGCATGGCAAAGTGTACAGAAGCAAAGACGCACCCAATCATCAAGATCGAAGCAGATTCTTTGTTTACAGAGGCAGAACTAATTCGGTTCACACATTATTTTTTTTGCCGCTTTTGCTGTCATACCCTCTGAAGTCTTTAGATTTGTTGTACAAGACAGGACAGCCTGAACTTCCTTCAAGGTGAATCAGAAACTACAGTTTAGCAGGGATTATAAACAGGATTCTTCTGAAAACTACTGTATAGAATTACACTTCATGAAAAGTTGCTATTCCATATATATTTAATGAAGAAGTAAATGAAAATTGGAAAAGTGGAGTCAAGGCTATCCCAAAACTATAAATGAAATAGGACAAGCTAGTTTTTTTGTTTGCTTAATTAACTAATCAAGTATTATAATTTTTTTAATACTCCAAGTCCAGATAACCTCTCCTTAGTATGATAGATACTTAGTATGACAGATACTCCACTGTGTCTTTTATTTCTAGGAGAATAAAACCATGAACTCTATACAATTATGTACAGGACACTTGTGCTTGATATCATTAGACATCTCTTTGGAAGCTGGGAAACTTGGATGGCAGAAAACTCATTAAACCACTACAAAATGAGCCAAGGTTTATTATGTTTAAAGTTTTTTCTCAAGAAATATTTTTATTTTAATTTACATTTAGATGAAGTTTATAGCAGTAGATGGCAGGAATTTCAGTCAATTTGCAAAAGGCAACGCGTATTTTGGCCAATGAGTTAGCAGAAAGTAATAGCACCTGTCTTTCTCCTTACCTTTTTGGACAACCATGTTGGAAAAGTAATTGTAAACCACTGCGAGTTTCCAATCCAGATAAAATATGTATCTTTCTTTTCTTAAATTCAGATGAGAGAAATTAAAGTTTTCAAAAGAGACCATTTAAGCATATATGGATAAAATACCTCAGGAAATAGGTAACAACTAGGTAGAATAACTATTATTTCACCAATATTGCAAACATTATTATTTTTATTAAAATAACTTTAAATTATGAAAATGCATATGATATGGAACTAGGATACCTACCTGTCTTTGACTTTCTCTCCATAACTGATTCTCTATAATGACTTTTTAAGCTGTAGGTATCTTTTAACATTTTGCCTGCAGATTGTTACAAAAATTTTAAAAGTATATATATATACACACACACATATATATACATATAAATCTATATTTTATATATACATATATATAGTTTTGTGAGGTATGTGTGTGCATTATAAAGTAATTTCTAAATCTTTGTTATTATGATTATACATAAAAATGAGAAACTCTATTATTGAACCTAAGGAAACATAAAGAGGTATTGTCCAGCTCGGCTGGTGTGGCTCAGTGGATTGAATGTCATCCCATGGACTGAGAAGTCCCAGTTCAATTTCCCATCAAGGCACATGCCTGGGTTGTGGGCTAGATCTCCAGTGGGGAGCATGCAGGAGACAGCTGATTGATGTTTCTCTCTCTCTCTCTAAAAAATAAATAAAAACTTTTTTTTTTTTGGCACGTGCCCCTAGCGGGAACCAAACCTGGGACTCTCTAATTCACAGGCTCATGCTCCAACTGCTGGGCCAAGCCGGCCAGGGCAATAAAGACATATTTTTAAAAAGAGGTATTGTCCAAACCACTGTTAATAATATTTTTAAAAATGATTAGAATGTTTGCAATACTTAACATTAAAAAAAAAAAAAGCTAACCAGGGTACACAAATTAATTTGCCCAAAGCAGTTTTCTTTCATTCATACTGTTATAAAGCTGTTTGTTGATGAAGTGAGTGCCTCAGCCATAGCAAATCTTAGTTTTAATAAGGATTTGCCACAATTTCTCATAATATTATGTAAAAGAATATAGAATTATTGACATATATACATTTAGCTTTTTAAAAAGTTGCTGAATAATGTCTTATAAACAATATTGATTATGTATTTTGCAGTGGGGAAATATTAGGATATGGAAAGCACTTAGTGGGCTGGTCTATACATACTTAATGGATCAGAAGTAGATATGAGGAGAAATAGACATGAGTCAGGAAAATTAGTAAATTATGAAAAATCTACATATATACACATCTGACACCCACACCTATACTAATCAGTTTACCATTATTACTGTATGACCTGAAAAGGTTTTGAAAGTTGAGGGGTTCCATGTCTGGGCCATATGATCCAATTGTTTGGTTCCATTTCCATAGTTTCTCTTTTAATATTTATGGTAAGAGGAAAAGAATCCTTTGATATGAACAGTATGGCAGGGAATTTGATAAGATGTTTCAGAACTAGTAAAATAGTGTAATTATTTTGCATTTACTAAGAAATAAAATGAGTAGTCCACAGTTAACATTCAACTATACACTGAGCTGGTATTCAAGCTAAGGCTTTTTTCTTTCTGTCTAAGAAATTATACCAAATTATACACCTATTTATTGATTCCCTGTTACTAAATAAGTATCACATGAATAGTCAAATTTTACAAGGATTGAGTTAAGGGGATAAAAGACAGTCTTCAGTTTTACCATCCAACAATGGAACTTTCCTATCATTTCACCAATAAACCTTTGAGACATCAGAAATTCATTGATTGAAACAAAATACATTGGTAGGTTGGAGGAGGAGGTCACATCTTATATCTTTGTAAGATAAAAGTTTTAATTATCTGATAACACTTTAGTTATTAGCAATTTTATGCTGGTTAAATATCTGGTTTGGCTCCTCTCCCCTCCAAGCGCACCAAACATGTGTGTGTGTGTGTGTGTGAACATACATACATATTTCTGCTATAAATTTCAAAAACTAAAAGTATGGCACATAATTTATGAAAAATTACAAAATATGAAACATTTATAGCCAAATAATGCTCTTAAAATGTTTTGTTGATTTTTGGTGATCTTTCATAGCTGAAGTCAATTCAAAACTGCATATGACTAATGAGTAGTTTGAATTTAGTGCAGGTCGATATTTTGTGTCTATTTAAAGTAAAAAAAACAGCTCTATACTGCGTTCAACTTCATCAATGATGAAGACATGAATTCATCACAACAATGTGGACCTAGAGGTATTATGCTAAGTGAAATAAGTCAGACAGAGAAATTCAAATACCATATGATTTCACTTATTTGCGGTATCTAAAAAAATGAACAAACTAAACAGAAACAACTCATAGATACACAGAACAAACTGATGGTTGCCATGGGGGGGGGGGGGCGGGGGGAGATGAGGTGATGGGTAAAAAAGGTAAAGGGAAATAAGAGTTACACACTTCTAGTTATAAAATAAATAAGCCATATAGATGTAATATACAAATAGGGAATATAGTCAATACTATTCTAATAGCTTTGTACAGTGGCAGATGGTTACAAGACTTATGTTGATGACATCATAGGGTATATACATGTTGAATCAGTATGTTGTACACCTAAAATTAATATTATATGACAACAATACTTTAATAAAAGAAATGTCAACTTAAGAGAAGCAATAACACTTTCTCCATCACTTTCTTAAGCCAAGACCATCAACAAAGCAATCAATCAAGTCCTAATTTGTAGCGTTTGCTGGTTTCTATGAGTTCCAATGTGATACAGCTGAGTGTGGGGTTGAGAAGAGACGTGGTGTAGCACATCATTCTATTGTATTCCCACTACAGACAGAATAAACATAACTGTGCTCAAAAACACAGATAATAGCAACGTAGTAAAATATTTAGGAAGATATGTGTTAAATATTCTTTTTTGTTGTTTTTAATATCCTATATTTAGAGAAAGTGAATGTAATTTAACTTTTAATATAAGCACTTTCTGAGCAGCGGTTCCGCGAGGGTGGGCGGCGGCCTCCTGGAGCCCGCTAACCCCTCATCCACCAGGGGGCGCTGGTGACCGCGGGGGAGGAAGACAGCGGGGGAGGAAGACGAGCAGGTTACAGAAGGCATCCATGCGCGTGAGATCTTCGATCTGATTCACTCCATCAATGACCCGGAGCATCCACTGACTCTAGAAGAATTGAATGTAGTATAGAGCAAGTCCGGGTTCAGGTGAGCGACCTGAGAGCACAGCGGCCGTGGCCTTCACACCCACCGCTCCTCACTGCAGCGTGGCTACCCTCCTTGGCCTGTCCATCAAAGTCAAGCTTCTGCGATCTCTTCCACAGCGTTTCGAGATGGTCGTGCACATTACACCGGGGACCCATGCCTCAGAACATGCAGTGAACAAGCAACTTGCAGACAAGGAGCGGGTGGCAGCTGCCCTGGACAACACCCATCTGCTGGAGGTTGTGAACCAGTGCCTGTCCGCTCGCTCCTGAGCCCGGCTTTTCACCCCCAGCCTCACCTAGGGCTCATGGTCTTGTTTTCTTGAATCACTGACAAGAAAGTCACATGTTGCATTTTGTAAACCCTTAATTTATAGTTAAATATATATATATGTATATATGTATATATGTGTGTGTGTATATATATATATATATATATATATATATATATACTTTTTAAAAAGACTGGCTTTCCTGAAAATTTAAAAATTGGTGCATATAAGCCAGTACACCTAGTACACCACTGCTTGAGTTACTCCTTTGGTGGATAATATATAGGAAGGGGAAACACTAATATGAAAAATAATGTTCCAATCAAAAGTTGAAGACTTTAAGATGATGTAATGCAACTTTGGAAATAAAATTTCAGCATACGAATTTGTCTTTTAAGGTTCTTTCCTCTATATTTTGTGAAGTTTAATTACAGATGAACTTGACCCAATACCTTCTATTCTCATGCTTTTCTGCCTGGCAAAAAATGAGCACAGATCAAAAGATGCCTTTTGTTATGTGTGTTATCAAATTTCAAAAGTGTTCCTATTAGTCTGTAATTAGAATATTATTCAAAAGAAGTATACTATAAAGGAAGGATATATGTTTGTAAAGTTCCTTTCAATATTTTGTCTCTACAAAAGAAAATTATTTTAAACTCTAAAATTCTCCAACATGGTTCAGGAAAGTTCACAGTAAAGGTAAATATCCTAAACATTTAATCAAGTTGAAAAAAGTGAATTCCTCAAATATGGAACAACTTTATAGATAGACTACCTGTGGAAAAGTTAATGGTATTTTGTTACTGTTTTTCTAGTTCAGCTAGAGGTATGTGTAGATTCCTTCGGAATTTGAGCTCCAGAAAACCCAGTGGTCCAAAGGAGGTTACTAGAGATGACCCGAAAGAAGGGAAAATCATATTTTCTGCTGTAGAAAAGCTAATGCACAAGTTAGATCTCAACTAATTCACAAGAAACTACTAGAAATATTTTAGGATAAGCTATAACCAGACTCTAAGTTAAATGCTTAAAGATAGAAATTACATGGAATGAACGATATCATTTGAAATATATGTGAGTGCCAGAGACCTTCACACAGGAGGAAAATGTGTGTGCGAGTGAATGAGTGTGTGTGTAAAAATTCATAGGTAAATATTCATCGATGGGAATTAAAACTTAAGACATGTTCTCTGCCCTTCGGGGTTTTAGCAGCTAGTTGGGGAAAACATTAAGTGGGACATATACACAAAATAACTGAGCAATGATAGAAAACTGATGTACTTAGCTCTTGTATTATGAGACAGTACTCACTGTGTCTGTTAGGAAAGAAGGTCATCTTGGGCCGAAATCAGCTGGGAAGGCCTAGCAGAGAAGTAAGGATACAGTTGAAATGCGTAGACTCGTCAGTATGTTTTCTACTCAATAGGAAAAACAAATCGAGGAAGAAATAACAAGGGAGTCAAGACTTTGCAATCTGAAATGAGAGCAGGATGCTTGAGCAGTAGTGATGATCAACTAAATGGACAAACTAATTGCAGTTTAAGTGTTAAATATGAATGTGTAGCAGAGGAATATATATACTGTAGTGGATTTCTGAAGCTAGGTTAAGAAGTTGGTACTTCATCCTCATGGGCAATGAGAGGCCAGAAGTAATATCTTCTGGAGAGGAATTCAAGTTTAACAATGTCAACACTTTTTTCCTAAATGTCCTGGGGTACCAGGGTTACTTCCAAGTTGATGAAGATATCTGGTACACTCAGTAGCTCTCTTCAACTATCCTGCAATGGTGTCTGGTTGGCTGAAAGCTTTTCTGCTGTATGACCATATAATGTCCAGTTTGAGGGCTAGAGTGAGGCAAGTAAGATATTCATTTCAGGAGCAAAATGTAAGACTCATGAAAGAACTTAGTTATTGAGATAAATATTTACTTCAGTATTTTTAAAAATTAAAATCAATGCTAAATTTCATCTGAACATAATATCAAAAAATTAAAGACAGGTTTAATATTCACATATGTACCTGAATGCCCTATCTCACTGGATCCTAACAGTCCCCACTCAGGACCACAAGACAGTAATTTTTCTCCCATGTCATACCACTGGCAATTAAAACTCCAGAAAAATTGGGACCTACAATTCAAACCTAGATTTTCCTATAGCAAAAGTAGTATATTTCCCACCCGAGAGGATGAGCTTGTGGTATGTTTCTTCATGGATGCCCTCTGAAAAGAACTGCAGAAGGACAGTTCAGATTGCTCAGAACAATTGTGGTGCTCAGTGATTTAAGTCTAGGAGATTTGCTGTGCATGATGTTGATTCCATGATATAGTTCCACCTGTTGAGACTTGGGAGGGGAAAAAAGAAACCTTGGGGACAGCTAAACAAGATCATTCAAAAAGAAAAAAAAAAAAAATTTCACTTGAAAAGAAACTGAGAACAAACTGCAGAGTCTAAATAGAGGAGTGTAAATTACATGCTAATCATATGCAAATAATGTATGGCCCTACTATTTCATGATCCTGCATATGACCTTCAGGGATTAAAACTAGCTGAATCTATTGCATTTGGGCATATTCCCTAAATTAGATTTACTAGTACACCAGCTCAGATAAATTTTTATTTATTATTTAGCCAGCAAGGATGGTTCCAAGGTCACTAATTAGCAAGTTCAATCTCTCTAAACCCCCATCATAGTTGGATCCAGGCTTCTGGTCTACACCTTGTGTTCCCATCTGCATTTGCTTTGATTTTCCACTTGGACATTATTACCGATCCCATCTGCACAATGGTCTCTGCCAACCTAGAAACTGGTCAGTTGTGTTAGGTGGATGTATGCTGGGCCTGAAGATGGCAATGAGGACTGCAGGCAGCAGCATCTGTGTAGAGGAGGCCAGTGCCTGTGGCCAGAGCTGATTTTCAGTCTACTGGGCCCAGGAATCAGGACTAAAGTGCTAGGTGCTCGGCAGGTGGACTGATGAGATCTCCGGGCAGCAGCAGTTTGGAGTTGGCAAGGCTCTGCTCACAGTGTGAGTGCAGCAGCCTTATTAGCATGGCTGAAGCAGTGGCTTAATCCACAGAAGTTTCCTGACAAAATCATTGTCCCACTTTCAAAACTCAAATAAAATCTCAACAGGAAATCAAGCCTCCTGTGTTTGGAAAGGTATTGTTCTTTGACCCATCACTGCTTCCAGTGGGAGAGAGATGAAGAGGGCATTACTTGCCCCACTAGGTTAGCAACAAGCCTCTGTTTATCTCAGCTATCCAACCCACAAATGGAAATAATGGTCTGACCAATATCACAGACATGTTATGAAGATTAAATAAAATTAAAAAAATAGAATGGATCAATTTTAATCTCCCCTGAGAAGGAATTGAAAAGTAATTCAAGTTTTCATTAATCTTGCATCATTTACTTTTTGTCCCCAAATTCCAGCAAAGGTTTGATTTTATCTGTTTCCTGATTTTAATCCTCTGTATATTTATATTTCCCTGTTTCCATGCTGCAACTCATGCTATTTTTTTCTGCCAGGAAAATTTCTTGACTTTCGTTTGTCTAAGTCAGAACTTTACCCATATCTTCAAATCTCACCTTAAATGCTATTTTCTTCTTGAAATTCTATCTCCTCTTGCAACTTAAAACTTTGAAGACACAATCTTTGAATGTCGTCATGCTACAACCTGCCTCCTCCTTACAATAGAATCATCGATGTCCTTGAATTATTCCTTTGCATAGATTTTAATCTTTGGGAAAAGATACCTATAAGGCCTAGGGAAGGCCTACCCCCATACAGCTCTTCTATAGATCTTGACTGTATGAAACAAAGACTCACCCTGGACTCTCTCCACTCATATCCTTGGGTAAAATGCATAAGCAAATCCAAACGTGTCTTCACTGTTCTGAAATAGGCATATTGAAATATAACAGAAATTTCATTTGTTGCTTTCTTTTTGTGAATAAAGATGGGAATATAACAGGAGTGATTTCTGAAATAGAAATTTTAGTAAGCCTTTCACTGACCATGAGAAAATCGGCAGAAACTGTCCTAAAGAGGGCTTCTTCCCATGTAACCTTAATGCCCAAGTGAAGTGGGAAGTTTGTAAGATGGAGAAAAAAATTTGATTCACTTGGTAAGAGAAATTACTCAAATCTCAAAACATCATAAATAAGTGATGTATGTAAAAGACCCTAGCATATTTCTGATACCCGATAGGTATTTAGTCTCTGCTAAACTGAAGACAAAAGAAGCAAGACTAGTAAGCGTGCCTTTTATATACCAAAGTGCTAAGTAGGGCAACAGGAATAATAATAAAGAAAAGACCAACTCAATTGATCATTCCTCCCTGCATCAGACCCAGGACACACCCACCCATACCCAGGGCATTGTTGAGATGAGTAGCTACATATACAGAAGGTCATCATGCCCTACATTGACAAACTGGCTGTATCAGAATGCATTATGTCACACTGGCTTGGGTTGCCCAAAGGGAAGCCATACTGTCAGAATCCTTTTCCATCTCAAGTCCAGCGAGAAGTTGAGAGAATGCAGTTGCAACATTACTTTCATTTTTCTGAGGTTAGTTGTATGATGTGAATCATCTTCAGACCTTGGGCAAAAGGACCAGTGCACATTTTCAGATGGTAGATAACTCACTTGTTCCAATACATTCCTAATGGAACACCTGGTTTCTGGTGCCATGTGACACTTACAAGGCATGTGACCAAGCCACTGAAGTCCCTACACCTTAAGTCTAGGTTTTCAATCTGTCCCTTGATGCCTGTCACAGTCACTGTTTATGTCTATTATCACTGCCTAATTATTAATGGCATCATTTTCATTCTCAAAAGTGTCTACATTTGGACAACTTATTTGATCCCCCTACCTATCAAATTTAATCCTGTCTACCTATTTATAAAGTATGTGGTTCTTGTATATGTCTGTAACTTTAACTAATTAAAGAAAGCACACATAAAATGATACACAATTTTAAATATATATAAAATAAA